GAATACATTGAACAAGACTGGACCCAGGACTGACCCCTGGGGGACACCACTAGCTACAGGCCTCCAACTAGACTGCACCACTGACCACAACCCTCTGAGCTCCGCCATTCAGCCGGTTCTCAATCCACCTCACCGTCCACTCATCCAACCCACACTTCCTGAGCTTACCTAGCAGGATGTGATGGGAGAAAGTGTCAAAAGCCTTGCTGAAGTCAAGGCAGACAACATCCACTGCTCTCCCCTCATCTACCCAGCCAGCCATTCCATCATAGAAGGCTATCAGGTTGGTCAAGCATGATTTAAAAAAAAAAAACACACACGAGAGAGAGTGAGAGTGAGAGAGAGAGAGAGAGAGAGAGAGAAGAGACGTCATGCTAAATATCACTGGCTTCTTTTTAGGTGTGTAAAGATCTATCAAATGAGCTCCTCGCAATATTTCAATGGAGCAATTTCTACTGTTCCAATAACAGTAGAATCCGTGCTGACTACTCCTGATCACCTTCTTCTCCTCCACATGCTTAGAGATGACCTCCAGGAGGAGCTGTTCCATCACCTTTCCAGGGATGGAGGTGAGGCTGACAGGCCCGTAGTTTCCTGGGTCTTGAAACAGGACTCCAGTAGCAGTTGTAGGCCTTGTGTTCCTTGTCTTTTGACAAAGTCAAAATAGACTTTGTAGTGGACAATTGTGGAATAATTCATACTGTGAGTGCTTCCTTTGAAAGGTCTTCACTTAATACAACATACAGTCATCCTCTTTAAAATCTGTCTAGCAATATCAAAGGCAATGAGTTGCTCAGGTTAATGAAAAGTGGAATAAAAGTGTTTCTTTATCTAGTATTTCTTTACTCTTAATTTTTACAACTACATTGTCCTACTGTGGAATATGTCTGTTTCCTTAAACGCTATAAAATTTAAATTATCATACAGTTATGCTTCTTTCTGGCAGTACAATATCAGTGGTATATAATGGTTTATGAAAACTTTCTTATGCATTATAATGTGTGAGACCCATTTCATCAGACTTGGGATGTCAATCTTCCAGCTCTTTTCATGCAGAAAAAAGCAACCTAGGAAATTCTTCCTAAACTCTTCCTAAAACACTGAGATAAACTGCCCATTGGATGTGCATCTCTCTGTTCACTGGATCGAAAGAGATCTTTATGACTTGTTTAGAATAAACATTTAACTTTTACATGGCTAAAATTAGATGAGATGAATCCCATATGAAATGTATAATGTATTATGTTGTCTTCTGAAGTCTCTGAATTGGCATCTGTCAGCCTCCCAAGACCATGAATGTCACATCACATTCTGTTAAATCTGCTCTCTACTTAGAAAAGGTTCTTTCCTACAGAGGCTACATCTTGTCAGTTATTTCACTGATACTTTTGAAATGAGTTCCTATAGGAATCAGGATGATGTTCCATTTTATTTAGTGCTAACTATGATAAAGCAATCCTGGTTCCAAGTACAATAAAATAGTCATTTCCAGCACTTTCCAGGAGACATAAGAGAATCAGAACACAATGCGTTATCTTCTGCAAATCAAAACCCTTAGTTTTACTGCTGCAACTTTTGACCATGAAACTTCTTCTGCCTTGAAAAGAATGCAGAAATAGTTACCAGCTATTAGGTGCTGTTACTCTATTTTACTAGAACCTGCTCACAGGAAAGTGTCTTTCCAGATACATACCAGTAACGCCTTCTGTACAGCTGGATTAAAGTTATCTTAAGAGAGGAACACAAACTTGTTTAAGAGCAATTAAGTTCAATAACTCCAAAATATAAAAATACACAGAAATGAAGTTCCCACATTTCTATGAAACAGCAGATACTTCTAAGGAGCACACACAGAGCATTCTAATGTTGCTTGCAAATGTAAGACCAGGATAGTAACGTAATACAGAAGAAAAATAGTAAGCCCCTTACTTTACTGCACTAAATAAAGTAAGTTCATCCATTAGATACATATTCCTGGCTCCCACTGAAATCATTACAAAACACACGTCAAATCAGAATATACTCTGTTCAGAGGGTCTCACCTTTGCTCTCTAATAACATTTAAGATCTCCTCTCAGACTCCTAGTGCTAAAAGTCATAGAGTTTTGTAATGCAGCCAAACAGATGTATTCATTTCTGAGGCTTGCGTCCCTGGGAAAATACGAAGGTGGTGCTGGGAAAGCACCTATGTCCATCAGATTTTCAACCAGTTCCAAGCACTATATAAAAATGATATGCAGGTGTGGTAACAGACATCTCTTGTTTGAAATTACTTTCTAAACTATTAAACATTTGGGGGGAGGGGGAGGGGACCAAAATTCAGCACATGTGCAAGCAGCCAACCAATCAAAAAACTCCTCTAAACTCTCCAGAGAATTTGGGTCATTTGTTAAACAAGACCTAAACTAACATCAAACACAATTTGGTGTTCTACACAGATAGCCTGAATCCAAAGACCTTGAACTGTGACAGAATCTGCCAGCTAAGGGGCTTTGTCATTTTTCTGCAGAGCGCCAGAGCACGTGTATAAAAGGTAGAAGAGCTTTCTGAGGGTTTTTCATGGTCCAGGGGGCAGGAACAGAGCCAGTTCAGTGCACTGCTAACATCTGTCACCCTTCAGCTGCCTTCACAGAGCATTCCCAGGGGAAACCGTGTAGAGCTTTGACAGAGGAATAACTAGCAGCCAGAATGGCCTCTTAGGCTTCAGAGCATAAAATAAACTACTCTTAAGGTAGTTTTGATTACTTTTGGGGCCAGACCAGTGCCAGATAGCCTACAATGTCTTTGCTATCTTTCCTATTTATACTATCTTCCTTTATCTTTCCTATTAATACTCTGCTGAGCACTGTTTGGCTTAGGCCATAAGAAATGGCCTGTTGATATTTGGCTGTTCTGAATTTAAAGAATGATCTTGAAGTATTTCACTATGTCTCCTAAAAGCATTCCGATAGCTGGCTCCCCCCGTGCACACAAACACACACAGATACCCTGGGACTGCCTCACAGTAGTCCCAGTTTTCCTCGTGACAGGCGACAGTCAGTGCTAATTGCGACTTCCTCAAAGAGTATCTGCACTGTTAAAACACACCAGCAGCACGAGGGGAACAACATATTCACCCTACAGTCAAGTCCCACAAAGATGTCTCTGTATACACTAACACCATACACCACCAAGCCCATTTTCTTTTACTGATCTTTTAACTTCAAAGCTTGCAGGAAAAGCCTGAGAGAGTCACCCAGGATTTTATCTCAGAAAATCTTAGAGAGCTTAGAAAAACCAAGAAACCATGCACTTTAAAATTTAACTTTAGAGTTTGGGAGGTTCTTCAGTTTTCACTGAGGTACCTCTTACCATGAAACAAATCACAAACTCTAATGAGTTTATGCTTTCTGAGGGAACAGTAGATGAGAAAAGTTTCCCCTGAAGATAGATGAAAACCTGGTAAAACAAACAGGTCCCAGTCCCTCTCGTCCCACTGCTTTTGTTGTCTTTTACATCTGGGCAAACTTGCCCCTCCTTTGTGGTAACATGAACAGCAAGCACAGAGTATGAGAGAATCAGGTCTGAACCACTTAGAAGAGCCTAGCCCCAGTTTCTCCTAGGCCAGCTCCACATGAAATAGCTTGCAGCAAGCCTCCAACCAGAAAGCTGGGCTCAGTGCTGCACCTCAGTAAGAGACTTGTGTACCTGCTGTACCGCACACTGAGGTGATGGTCCTGTAAATGGCTCCTCCGTCCTCCATGGTATTTCCGGGGGTAATGCAATATAGTGCAGGGGTTGCTCTCCTCCTCTCCCAGCTTGTTGGCAGCTGGGTCTGGTGCATGGAGTCACAGGAGAGGAGGAAGGCCGTGTTCAGCCAGCCAGCCAGGCAGCTTCCTCTCCTCTTCCCCTGCAGAGACAGCCTAACTGCACTGCTCCTCATTCTGTCTTATTTTGATGCATCAAACACATCCCCCACAGAGATATTTCACCCACTGGAGCTGGTAGACTGAATGAGACCACTTGAGCATATGAAACCTTCCTTCCACACAAGCAGCATCAGGTAGAATCTAAGGAACATCCAAAACAAGTTCTGTGTCGTTCAGACAGCAACATGTAACTCTACACTACTAAAAAGTGATCTGGTTTGCTTTTAAGAAAAATTGCAGCTAAAAGAAAGGAAGACTCCTGAAATGAACAAGCAAAAGCAGAAAGTCTGTGGAATACCTCATGTGGGACTTCACATCCAGTAGCTCCAGAGAAGTCACCCTGGGCTCTCCAGCCAGGTTCTGCAAAATCTTCAGCCTTGGGCCACAGTGCTTGTAAAACTCCGTGCAGATATTCAGCAACGACTCCCGTGGTCTCCTGAACTCCTCTCTGGCAATTCGCTCATCCAGCTCCTCTCGGGGAAGACCCTGGCCTTCCTCCAGCAGGTGAAGGTTTTCCCTGGAGGATAGAAAATAAGAAAAAGGAGGAAATATCATATGCAGTGGAAGAGCAGGGGTAGATTATAACAACTCCTCCAGCTTGCTATTTTGTAATAGATGCTTTCCCCTGCAGTTGAGGACAGTTGCATTTGTGGTAAAGGAAGAGTGGGAAATTATCCCCTGCAAAGTCTTGTTAAGAATGAGAATAACGTCTATATGAATTACCTTTTGCTACCTTCCCCTGAAACTATGCTGCCTGTTACAGCAGCAGTGGGTGGGACCCAGCGAACCTGGAAACTGCTAGGCAGCAGATTATGACATGCTGGGGCAGACTCGGGGAAGATCTTACCGTACCTGATAAAGTGCAGTTTGGCTCCCTGTTCTGGGTACCTGGGAAAACAGAAACAGTGCAGTTGTAAAAAGCAACTTAGGAATGGCTAAGCTGTGCCTGTCTGAAAGAGGGTGACACCGTTCTAGCCCGGGGGTACACTTCCCATCGGCAGGATGGTATCTCATATTGCTTGAACAATGACTACATGTAATTAGTGATCTCACTGAATAGCATTTGCCTCCCAATGGGCAGGAAACAACAGTTTGCTCTAGTTTTGAATCGACATGAATAATGGCTATACCCTTGTTATGAAAGGAAAAATTAGAGCTTAAAAAACACAGTCTCTTTCAAGTACTTTTTATCACGGATTTTCATCCCCGTGCTTGGTTTGCTTCACAAAGCCGGAGTTACCTAGTGGAAGGAACACTTCCGAGAATATTCTTTCGTTGGCGTTTTCTCTTGCTACTTACTTCTTGTGGAGAAAGGATTAACGAACCCTGCACCACTTAGCTAACACGTCCAAGGCTTGAACAGTGACCATTCTAGCATGATGAGATTTGCTGCTGCTAGCAGATGTCTGTTACAGTGATAACACAATAGAAAAAACAAGCAGAAAACTTGGAGCTCTGCAAAATTATTTTGGACCAGGACTGAGTGTTTGCTCATCAGAAAGGTCTGGCAATGTAAATTAGGATATTCAAGTCACACAGTACCAGGTGTGTGACTACTATGAAGCAGTTTGTCTGCTTCTCAGATTCTGGCCTGGAAAAACAAGCTGTGAGCTTATTCACTCCGGGACTCCAAGACCGGATGAACTAATCTTAAATAGTAACAGACCAATTCCAAGAGTTACCTACTAACATGTCTGCACTATACATCTATAATTTGACATACCAGTCCTTCAATGATCCATGCAGTGAAGTGATTTCTATCCCCTTTGACTCGAAAGACAGACAGGGAATAGCTTGGAAAGCATGCCTTGCCAAAAACGTATTCCTGATTTACAGTCCTATACAGCCCATAGTATTTTACTGGACTGCTGGCTGCACACAGACCTACTGATGGGTTGTTATCTAACAAAAAGAACTCAAGAAGGAACCTTCTGCTCTGAAAACAAAAGCTACTCCAACTCCTGCTAGGAGAACTTCCTCTTTGGGTCAGCATAAGTAGTTGGATTTTAAGCACAGTAAGGTATAAGCCTGTACAGGAAAAGGTAGGGCCTCTGAGAAGAGTAACCAGTACTGCAGAGAAAATCATCTCAAGCCCCAAAGGTTTTTGGTTGGCTTTTGTGACAAGATTTCTTAAGCCTTTGCTCTGTGACTGGGTAAATTGTCTGGTGGCCTTGTCCCCACAGCAGCCTAATCTGAATGGCCAGTATGGCCAAGGAGCTGTATTACAGTCTGCTGACACCATCTCCTTTCTTATATCCTTCTTCTGTGTGTAGTTTGTTTGTTGGCTTTTTAAACACAGGGCAAAAATTCCCAGTCCTTCTGCCCTTTCTGTTAAATACTCTACACCCTCTGCTTTGCTAGGTATAACTGCAAAAAGAACCTAGATCAATGCTGGAGTAAAGGTGATAAAAAAGAAAACAAAAGAAAAGAAAACTAGAGGAGGTGCAAGTAGTCTCTGCGAATCTCAGCCGACACTCAGCACTGAGCTCTTACTGCTATTCAGTTTCTCAGAACAAGGCCAGAAGGAACAGGCTCTCCTGCTACCCAAACGGGTTCTGCTCAGTGATCTCTTCAACACTGGACTGAGAAGGAAGCAAAACAGAGAACTGAGGGACAGGGTTGCTTTGTCAGTATACTTCCAGGGTGTGAAAAGGGAAACAAAGAAGACATCAAGGATATGTGTCCTCAGTTTTGATATCCTGATCTTCAGCTTAGTCACACGGTTTTAAACTGAAAACTCCAGAAATGGGGATATTGCTTACCAATAGAAATTCACTCCTGGGCTATGTGGGGTTTTTTTTTGTTTGTTTTTGTTTTCTCCTACAGGGACTGCCCTGTATTTAGGGCACTTGCTCAGGCAATTGAGGAAGTGCTCCGAGTGCTCTGAGTGAAGAGATATTACTCCAAAAAAACTCTTGTGAGAAAAATGAGAAAGAAAGAAAAACTACCTGGTGTTCACACCTGCTGACATGGTGTGGTTAGCTGTTGTGGTCCCTTTATGGCCTTGGTCACACCTGCTCATCTGTGGGGCTGTCATAGGCCTGCCAAAGGAAAGGTGAATAACACACTTAATCTAACAAACGCACTGAAATTCTCCTTGTGGTCTGGTGAAATCTGGCATTAATTTTACCATGTCTGAAACTCAGCCATTATACAAGGTAAGTTACATATTGTGACCCCCCGCTATGTGGTTCCTGTGTATTCCTTCTCCCCAAACTGATCGCTAAATGAGGCTGAGACCTTTGGTCCATGGGGATTACCTGGTGAGAACTTCTACACTGTACAGGAGAGCCTGCAAAGAGGTGGCAAGTGCAGCCATAGCAGCAGTCTCCTCACGAGCTGCTGTCACAGTCTCCACTTGAGAAGTCTGTCGCTTCAGTTTCTGCAAGTAACAGGGAACTAGTGCTTCTAAGACCATCAGCATCTGGAGGCTGGAACAAAAACCAATATTTGCTCAGTTTTATTCCATCAATCCTGAAATTCACTTCAGGTGGAGGCTTAGGTTTCTACTGGAAGATGCCTGCTTCTCTCATTGGCCTGGGATTTCATTGCTTCTTACTAGGTAAGTAGTCCTGGGCCTAAGAAACTTTTTCATGGGGACTTCAGGAGGAAAATTAGCTGATGCATGAAACAATAATAAAAACACCCTGAACCTGGATATCTTCTGAATATGTCATCCATTTGCATACATCGATTTTCTCTTCCAAAGATTCCATTCTTTTCTGGCTCCCTCTTGGAAATCAATGTTTTTGCATTCCCAGTTTACCTCCTCTCAATCTGTGTCTTCCTGTTCTTTCCAGCTGTCTATTTCTCCCCTCCAATTCCCTCTCCGTTCCCTTGGTGACTACAAAACCCCACAGAGCACAGTGTGATCCCCACCTTGCTCAGCATTACGGAAATACAGCCTGTGAGTTTCTGCTCAGGCCACCATCCAGCTTACTTCTTTAGCCAGAGGCTGGCAGCAGTTGCAGCCAGTGTCCTAGGACTGCAGGCCAAGGCTTGGACTACTGCCATGGCTTAGGCTCACAGAGAAGCCCAATGCTTGGAATACCCTTACATATACTCTGCCTCTGTTTGTCAGTCTTCCTTTCTCACATGATACGCAACTCTCCTGCCTTTCCTGATTCTGCACAAACCAAGAAAAAAGAGTAGTACCTTCTGAATGACTCAGGAGCATAGGCTACTACTGTCACACATAACTTGATGGCTTCACTAATCGAAAAGGTCAGGTCTTCATTCCCGTAGCAGAAGTCTGAAGAGATAAAACACTATGAGAAAACTATCACACAAATACGACAGGAGCTAACACACTCCTTTCTTCTCCTCCTTTTCAGTCACTTGCTTCTCATGTTAACAATTCCCAAAATGCTCTTGATTTAAAAAAAAAAATCTATCCATAAAAAAAAGAACATGTGCTGCACTCCCACTTTCACCCTGCCATCCAAGAACTCAGTAAGAGAAACAATTCTCAGCAGGTCAAATCACTGCTGAGCACAAGGCCTACAACTGCTACTGGAGTCCTGTTTCAAACGTCACCCATCACAAGGAAAACCTTAAGCTCACATGTGACAAGGACACATGTGAGCTTAAGGACAATCTTTATGTTCCCTTCTGCTTTTTCCTTCCTATCCTACTAAAAATGACCAAAATTGCGAGGCTGATGATGGAAGACAGTTTTACTTCTAGAAATCAAGCCTCTTCTAGGCTGGTAGCCACATGGCCTCCAGTTCAGAAGGAATTCTGGTTTGAAAGTGATTTGAGAAAACGTTTTCAAAAGCATTTAAGTCTCATACTACAAACTACATACTACTTTGGGGATAATGAGCATCAGGCACCAAGAAACGGAGATATCCAAAGAATAATATTTGGAATAATACTACAGTCCCATTTTCAGAAGTGATTTAAGTACACAGGAACCCAAGTCCGGGCTAAGGTCCTAAAGTGAGCAAATCACTTTGAAAAATGGAAGTTGGAGATTAGATGTTTTAGATAATTCTGATTGTCACAGGAAAAATACCTGGCACGCAATATTTTCATTTGCAACGTCAACACACACTTAGGATTTTTCAAAGATGCCTTTGAATACCTAAAGAGAAGATGAAGCTTTATATAAATGTTTGCTACGTTCACAAAGAGGAAGAAATACCTTCCCTTTCTGTATCATTTTTATATTATAACTTGTGATGTTGTACAGCATCACTGTTTATCCAAATCAGCATTACTTAAGGGAAGAGCAAATCTAGAAATAAGTCAAAGATCCTTATAACAATCAGCAAAAATTACTCCCCTGTAAATCACAAAGCAGTTGACTTCCTAAATACTGCGTTACCTGGATTACTACCAAGAGACACAGCGTCCTGGATACATCATAGAGCCCTATATATTTTGCTCTGTGATAAATTGACTCCTCCCCCACAGAGCTAGACACTGATAAATCTCTGAATGGCATCCGTCATTTACTAGTCATAGTCTGCCCGCAGGAGAGGCTCTTTTGTTTTCTGCCCACATGGAGCAGGGGAAGAGAATGACACTGATCTTGTCAGCATGATACAGTTTATTAGGCATCTTTATTCTTCACCCACACATGATAAAATTCAAAATGCCAGGAGCTGGTCTCAGGCTAGCGGGCTCAACGGAGATGTAGCAGTTCTGGAACAAAAGACATGAATAATTTCCTTCCTGCAGAAAATATCTTAAGAGATAGTGGCAATAAAGACAACCTTAAAAGCTACACGAAGCATAAGAAACAAGTATTGCAGCACTCTGGGAGAAGAAAAAGGCCCTGAGCAAATCATGCTGAATCAAATACTTGTTGGGTCAATAAATAACAAATAAGAATTACTTAATAAAGGGTTCTTCGCTGTTACCTAATGATTTGAGGGGCTTTTCTGCTTTCACCAGCTCTAAGATGTCCAAAATGTCTGGAGTATCTCCCTCTAGAGACTGCAGCAGGTCAAAAAGGCACTGAGCTGACACTCCTTTGTTGGATCCATTGTTTGTAGCGTCCTGTTTCAACGACACGCATTTGTAGTTGATTTTCTGAGGGTCTCGTGCATCCCAGGAATCTTCATCTGGAGATTCTGGAGACGTGCACAACTCCTCCTCGCCCCATTTTTAAAGTATATAAAGCTAAGAGCCCACCTAGACTTCAGGAATTTACTAGTTTACGGCTATCAAGTAATAAGCTTTGCCTGACTCAGCAGATTGATGCTACAGTGGAAACACGACATGAAAATTGCACAGCTTTACTTCCCCCAAAAAGCAGATCTTTGCTGCCCTGTGAAGGAGTAGGTTGTACGTGCTTATAGTTTGATATAGCAGTCCCCCTTTAAATTAAAACTGCATTAACTTGTTTTAACTCACTACAGTGGTAAAAAGTCATCAGTGGATATTTGAAAACATGGCTAATCTAGTCCTAGAGTTCACATGCAGTAAAACTTGGCAATGAGCTTTTTGTTCTTAACGTTGGATTCTAAGAAAGGGTTTGCCATGTGTTTAAAGTGCTGCAAATCATTATTGTCCTTTTGTAACTTATTTATACACAGAACTTTAAAGTGAAGCTACATTTACCAGCAACCCATTATGTCAGCATCCTGCTTAAGAGTGACCACCATCAGATGATTCAGGAGGTAAAATAAAGCATAAATCCACTGACGAACAAAAGCCTGCAGAAGTAAGTTCAGGAAATGGTTCCAGCAGCACTGAGTGCAGTAAGTGCATGATCATTAAGAACTGTGCTTGCTGTTCCAGCTGTTCGCTCTTTGTGAACTCTGACAGGGGGCTGGCTGCCTACGCAGACTTCCCCATACAGAGCCTAGGGAATGGCTTTTACTCACAGGGAACTCCAGGAGAGGAGCCACACTTGCAAACAGCTGCAGAATAAAGGGCTTGCGATGCAGAATGTAGAACTGGCGGCACGCGAACTCAATTGCCTGGCGTAACTGTGGGTTGCTTTCATAGTCGGCATATACCTAAGCAAATGAAAAAGGACGTGGAAGTACTCCTCCAGTGGAAGGCTCTCCATCGTCTCACCCTAGGCAGAATCAACTACAGCCTTGTCATTCCTGACATGTTTACCTAACACGTTTTTAGAGATGGAGGCTTGACTACCATCCCAGGCTGTTTCAGCTCCAAACTACACATAGAAAAAGGGCTTTCTTGTGTCAAGCTTGAGCCTTCTTTGTCCCAACTTTGGTCTATTATTTTTCGTCCTCTATACCAAGGGTAGATTCTTCCCGTCTTCTTTCTAGAAGCACTTTGCATGTTTGATGCCACATAGTGCTTTCTCCATCAATCTTCACCTTTCTCAGTTAATCAAACCCCAGCTCTTCCTGTCCTTTCTCGTGCGTCATATTTTCTAGATGTACCTCCATATCCTAGTCTCGCACTCTCTTCAGTTAACAGTTTAAACAACTGCAGTGCCTACAACTAGGCAGAGCCAGCGCTCTGAGTTTGGAGCACTGCTGATTGTAGCAGAATTACTCCATTTGTCTTTCACAAGATATAATTCTGTATGGTTACCCCAGAATAGCATTTGACATCTTTTTTTTTCTGTTATTGTTTTTTTTCCTCCGATAGCAAGACACTATTGATTCATGTTCAGCTTTAGATCTATATCGACTCCAAAATCCTTCACTGCAGAAGTGCAACCAAATCAGCTAATTTGCCTTCCATATTTATGTGCTTGATTGTTTCTAAATAAGAACCTACACTTGTCCAAAGTGATCAACATTTGTTGATCTGGTTTTTTCCTTTTTTCAGACTGCATCTCCAGTTTGTTTGTCAAGATAATTTTGAACTCCTAGCCTATCCTCCAACATGCTAGCAGTTCCTCCTACCTTTAAGATATTTTAAGGTTCTCAGAGTGGCATTTCCTCCAGAAGGGCCACTGAACCATGCAGACAAGGTGTTGTCAAAGGTGTGGGATTTGTTTCTCAGAGTTATGTAAACAGTATAACTAGCTAGGAACAACTTCACTACGCTTCCTTCTTTTGTCCATTTCCATTGCCTGTCTGTACTTCTCTGCGGGGGGGGGTGCAGCAGGCAGGCAGAATGGAAGGGTTTTCTTGACATTTGCTGGCAGCAGGTAATGCTGAGATTTTATGTTAGTGCAAAATTGACATTATAGCACAGGGTTCTTGAAGGTTTCTAAAATATTATCGGTATGTGAGATCTCTGTAGGGATGCGCTCACTTTCCAGCAGCCTAGTAGGCTAAGGAGACTAGTATGTCTCTACTACAATCACGAGCAAGTAGCATACTTATGAAGCCACTCAATCAACATGGCCTGTTACACTTGTATAATCATATTAACGTAAGAGAAGGGCAATAATTAACAGTATGTGCTATAATAATTAACAGTATATTAACAGTATAAATAATTAACAGTATATTTCACCAATGAAATTGGAAGAACCTGCTACAAAAAGATCCCTGTAGGGGAATGTGCATGAATTCATCAGGAACGAAGCTATTCACAGCTGGGGTATGTTTTAAACCCAGAACTGGTAGAAGAACTTATTTGTGATGACCACAAATAAACCAGCTGATCTTGGGTGGCTGGAACCAATACGTGAGGCTCTGGAAAAACAAACAGGGTCAGCAACACTTTTGTTGTCTTTTGGAATTAATTTTTTGCCTCCCAAGAGTGGTATTTTGTTAATTTGGCAGTTGGCAATAATTGGTAATGGGGGAAAAAAGGGAAAGAATTACAAAAACTAATTTCTCTCAGTATGAAAAGTGAAAACAAAGGGAGAGTTCTTCACAAGACTGAAAGGCTCCTGACAAGTATTTTAGATGAAGTTACTTTATTTCAAATATCTTCTTTCTGATGAATAAACCTAAGCCACAGACTTGGATCCAATTCACTTACCTAACCATGCAGGGCATGATATTAGAGTTTCCAGTTTCTGTAGAGTTTGCATAGATAGCTAAATTTATCACTGGTCCTAACTACTGAGCACTGTTAACTATGTTAAAACAAATATACATAGGAATGTCATGATCATTGTTTCTTCTACAGAAAAAAAAAGTTTTCTCTGTATTCACATCATAATGGTAAGTCTCTCTTTAAATACCATCTTCAAGCCCTGCAGAAATAATCTGTTTGTCTGGAAGAGAACGATATTGATTTTTTTTTTCTATTTTCAGTATCTAAATTTTCACAAATGTCAACACCAAAAGGACATACTTAAGCACATTGAAGTGAAACGCCACCTCTAACATTTGCCACCTCTAACACTTCATCATTCAAATGAAAAGAGGGTAGACATTTTTATTTCATAAACACTTAGCGTCATTTTCTGTTGCTATTTAAATTATAAATAACACATTTATCATACCTGAAGAAGTGAATACAATTTAGTTTCAGTCAGCAAGTAGCTATTACAGATATTTCAAATATTCCCAAATTTCAGCCATCCTTGGGACGAAAAAAGCACCGGGGGAGACTCAAGCTTCAGAAATTTTTCAGAAATTTCACATTTTTGCATGGAAGTACCAGTGAAAGAAACAGATATTCATTTACTTAAAATAAAGAAGAAAAGAAAATGTAGCCTTGGGGATGCTGAACTGGGCCTTCCCACCTTGTTCTGCTGTTTGTCTTCTCAGGGCCCCCAAAGGTTGTAATTTCACTGGGACTCAAGGAAATGGCTCACCTGCAACATGCTGGGGAGGACCCACTGGTATCCACTGAGGGAGAAGAGGTGGTTAAAGTGCACAGCTGTGTTTATGACTGTGGCAGCATACTGCCTCAACAAGGCACTGTCCTCTGGGTGCAGGATCAGGGCACCGTTGAAGACATTCAAGAACAGCATGATCTCATCTCCCCAGGGGAACTCGCTGGGCATGCCAAGGAACATCTCCTCCAGCAGCTTAATCCACAGGCTTTTCTGAAGAGTGTCAAGACCAAAGAGCTCTTTCCCAGCTGTGGAGGAGAAGGCAACAACAATCAACTCTGCCCACCACAGCCGGCCTCACAACGCTCCCAGAGGCTGGAGGCCTCCACAGATAGACCTCCCGCAGCACTGACCTTTGTTTTGCCTTCTGAAATGAGTTCACTCATCCTGCATCTCTGCAAGTGCCCACAGGGCTTTGGCCAACCTTGTTTAAAAGCAACAGACTTGAAGCCTAAGAGTGATGGCTATCACACAGCTCATTTAATCTGCTCCCTACTGGTTGGAAATTCTCATTCGCTTACAAGTGCAAGCCGAACTCAGCGGGTACATACAACCAGAAGTTCATCATCTATCTGCCTCACACAGCTTGGATGGTTGTATAGATTCATCTTGAATTTTTATCCTTCAAGCGTCCCACACACTACAGGACACCGCTACATAGTTATAATAATGCTTCAGAAAGCAAGTGCCTTCAGGGCCTGTTACATAACCTGCCAATGCTTACCACTTAGCAAGAAACACAGCCTCTAGCACAGCAGCCTGCTTAATGCCCAGATCAAACTGGCAGTTCCAGCTGGCTTTCAAGGCAAAGTTTCTAAAAGGAGGGCTGTTTCTATACTCCTGCCACAGAATTTGCCCACATCTTCATTGTAGGTCCACCACTCGTACAAAGTGGTCAGTAAAGAGCTCTGAGCTGTCCTTTTCAGTTGAAGTTATGCTGTGGGGTCCCAGACACTTTCTCTGAATGGGGCTGCAGGTGTTGGGGTTTGAAACACTGGCCCACAGAGAGGATGCTAGGAATGCAAGCGTGGAGAGCACTGCTAACTGGAGCTCTGAGCCACGGTTTAGAGAAATCAACAGAAAGACTCCCATTATAGAAAAAATAAAGTCAGACTAGACCTCCAGAGCTCATATAGTCCAACTCTCTGATTCAGGCAAGGCTAGCTTCAAAGCTAAATGAGGCAGGCCTTGTTTGGCTGAGTTTTGAAAACGTCTGTGGATGGAGATTCCACCACTTCTCTGCGTTCTTGCTCTGCTGCTTAACTGCTTGTACTGTGAAAACATTTTTCTTTATGCTCAATTGTAATTTCTCTTGCTGCAGCTTGTGCCTGTTGCCTCTTCTCCTTTTGCTGTGCTTTTCTTAGAAGAGTCTGGCTCTGTCCTCTCCACAATATCCCTTTAGTGGAAGTCTGCAATTAGACCCCTGCCCCAAGCCTTTTCTTCTCCAAACTAAACAAGCCCAAGTGCTTTCATCTCTCCTCGTATGAGATGTCCTCCAGCCCCTTAACCAGCTTTCTGACTCTCCACTGGTTTCTCTCCAGTTTGTCAACAACTCTCATGTTCTGGTGAGACCAAAGCAGGACATAGTGTTCCAGCTCTAGTCTCATACATAACTTTAATACGTAATTATAATAGATTGTGGCTTGGATGCAAAGAAAGCAGCCTTGCCTGCGGACCTCTAACACAGCATAGCCTTTACTGCTCTTGTGCTGACATGCCAACACCTGTGTATCATTTTCCCTAGGAAGAGGTTTTTCATCAGCCTTCAGTAGTGCCACAAGCCTGTATGTTACTAAGGCAAATGCAGTGCCTCACAGAAACCTTCCGGGCCCAGTACAACCACCACAGAAAGCTATCAAAAAGGCCATACCTTGGGGGTCACTAAAGAGTGAGAACTCGGCATCAATGGCACTTCGGGGGAAGGAAGGCAATCGGAGGAGGTCTTCCTGAAGCATAGATACGTGGGACTGCTTGTGGGCAGTAGGGATTTTCTGTGTCAGTGATATGAGGAACAACACCCGCCCTACCTCTTCTAGCTTGCGGGTGAACACCTGCGAGAGAAAAAGAGACAAGGAACAGAATCAATCTGGTCAAAAAGCTCTTTACAAAATTATATACACTTTTTGAGGTTAGTATAGTTCTTCTGCAGCTTTCTCTGATGGGTGGGATGCTGCAGATATGGCCCAGAGGAACACGCTGAACATCACGGGGGCTGATGCTGCACCTTTCTCTAGAGCTGACTGACCCCTGCTCCTCAGCCCAGCTCATCAAAGGTGGATTGTGTTTGTAAAGTTTTAACAACACTTTAGTTAAGTCTTACGGAGGGCCCTGAATGGCTGTCAAACACTTTACAACTATGTTACATGGTCTTTTGCAGATCACTGTAAGCTTTGCCTGTGTAAGCCCCAAGCTGGTCAAAGGCAATCTAACTCCAAACTGGAAGCCATACTGTTGTGTTGTTCTCTGTAAGGTCTTAGACTGCAGTCAACATCTGGTTGAAAGGGTTACGTACCTCTTAGGTCAAGGCTGGCTTGTGTCTAACCATAGCAACTGTATACATAGTTGCAAAAGAAAGAAATAAAACAGTGCAGATCAGACTCTGATTCAACGTAAATTAGCAAAGCCCTGTTGACTTCAGATGAGCTATTCTGCCTTACACCAGCTGGGAAACCTAGTTACGCTGTACCAGCCTCCTTTGAACGTCTGACTGGTAGGACTAGTCAGACAATAGCTACTCTATTTGGGCGCTGAGAGTAACTGTAAGGCAGAGTGATGCTCAGTGGAAGAAGCAACTGTCTTTGGAAACAGTTTTGAGACAGGTCTTAGCTACTGGGCTGAAGCCAAAACTTGCAGCACGTGGCTTAACATGTGACAAAACTCAGCTTCCCGAGTCCTTGCTATGACCGTGCGCCGAAGTGCACTGAGCTTAGAATTGGGCGTTCAGCGTTCACTCAACAATAAAGAAAGTACCTTTCTGTGGACTGCTGCTCTGTGAGCAGACTGCACCGTACTGTTTTCATTGCTGAAGTTGGATGTTTCCAGCACCTTGCTGCATGACTGCAAGAGAGGCTGGAGGATGCTTGATTCAAGTTATACCTTAGAAATATTTTGGCTTCTAAGTCTTCTAAATAGAAGAATGTGGAATGTAAAATAACACCCTGAAAAATCTGGACACACCATTTAAATCTTTTTGGGTGATGTGGGGCATATCGAACTCAGACTTGATATGTGGGACACATTTTCTCGATGCACAATGAGAATAATGTCTGGCAGAGAAGCAACCAAAATGATCCCAAGCCATTTCAGTTTCTCATAGATTTTCTACTGACAGATGCAGCATATGGGATATTTCTCTACTCTGCACTGTACATATCTGAGACAGCATTAACTACGTTCGCCATTATTTTAGCTGTTAGTCCCGCTAAACCAGCTTTACAGCTGCTTTTTATAACCATTCCTGATGATAATTTCCTGTCCCTGCACTCAAGATGCCAGGGACACAACTACAGCAGCTGCTTTTTGGCTAGAATAATAAAGCTGTTAATACTGAATTCTAACAGTGTAACCACGCTCCCCCACGTCTATTTTCTGCTTAGTGTCATCCTTTTCAAATATACCTAGAGCAACTTTTCCCTGAACATTCAGTCCTATGCTACTAAGACAACCCTGCCTTTGTGGAAAACAGAGCAGGTGGCTTTCTGCAGATGGAGTGAGCTCAATACTATCATCTTACTCTCTAAAGAAGTCATACTTCAGGGGTTTGCAGCACATTAAAGGCACTGGCCTACTGCTTTAGTTAGAGCTTAGTTCCTATGGGAGAGCTCCTGGGAGCTGCACAGCATTAACAGGACCAGATAGGTTATCACATCACGAGGCTCGAAGGTACGGAGGATGGTGCCCTTCTGAGGGCAGATACTCCCCAGATGAACCAGTCGCTACTGCTGTGCCTCTGGTGGTGGTTTTGATAAAAGACCAATATCTGAGAGCAGGACTAAGGAAGAGAGACAGGAAACATTCTCTGTAGTGAGAGGACAGAGAGGAAGGTAAAACAGATGGTTCTGGCTCCAGAGCCAAACAACCTTCTGAAGAAAAGGCCTCAAAAAGGTTCTTAAAGAGCCAGAGGCAGTGCTGAGAAAGAAATAAGCATCCTTTGAAGCTGAGGCAATTGACACTGTTTGGACTAAGAGTAGGAGAATACAAAATGATGATACAAAATGAAAAAAGAAGCTGGCTGGAGAGAGGGGGAGGGAATTCACATTGTATTCTTTGTCTCTCTCAAAATACCATACACCTGTCCAATGACACCAAGGCAGATTTCATGCCAACTGCAACTTTTCCAGCAAAGCTCAGTATCTGCAGCATAAACCTTTGAAGGGGAAAAGAAGGTTTATTTACAGGATTTGTTTCTGGGCAGAGATACTTGGTGATAGTAAGATACCTGCTTCTGAATGAGCTCTTGACCCTTTTCTGGATGCATCTGCACCAGGTTGAGCTGGGGAGAAACTGACCTCCGGAAGGGATAAATGTCACGGACGTAGGTCTGCCAGGAGAGGAAACAATAATGTGTATTTTAAACAAACGCAATTCACACATCAGGACTGAATAAAGGGCCCTTCAGTGGGAATAAGGAAACTGGCACTGGTAAAATAAAAAAGCCATCCCTTCTCCTTCGTCATTCTCAGAAAGTGTGCTAAAGCATGGGCAGGGGTAAAAAAAACCCAAATCATTCTGCCTGCACCTGAGCTGTCCAGATACAATCCAGTTCCAGTCTGGACACTGCACAGATATTGAACCAAAGATAATATGTGCAGCCTCTCAGCAGAAAAATCTGAGAAGACCCTGTTTGAACTTTCTGAAGCTTTTGGGTAAGGACTTCCAGATGGTGTCAAGCATCATGGAAGAGCATAAACAGGAGAAATCTGCTCTCCCTCATTTCTGAGAAAGTTATATATTAATGACTTAGGAGGAAGGCCTCCACTTCTCTCTTCCCTCTTCTAACAAACTTCAGTCTATCACCACACACAACTAAACATTAGAGATGTGGTGCCCACAGGACAGAATTCTGGCCACTTACGGGCTGCCTGCTATCCTTCAGATAACCCTGACGTTTAAAAAAGGATGAGATAAAAAGAGTAAAGTCATCTGGACCTGACATCTTTGCCTCACCTTGTTGTAATGAATAAGATTCCATCGCTTATCCATTAAAAAGTAATGAGAAGACTGGGTTTCAGGTATGTTAAAAAACTCCAAACATTCCTGAAGACAAAGAAAAAAAAATCACTTTGTTACTTGTTACCTATCTTGTACAAAGACTACAATATCAAAAAAATTACTGTCTAGTTAACGTATAAAGGCCAAAACCTGAATGCCTCAGTCAGGCTGACACATTCTTCAGGGATTAATTCTTGATTTCCTTTTTTAATCAAAAAATATATTGATATGTTTTTGATGATCAAAACATGCTAGTATCACAGTCCTGAGGACTGATGTTACCTATTTCTATGTCTCTCTTCATATCACGTGTATTTGTCTGCCTAAATGATCCATATGATATTGTAGATTCCATTTCCATACTATGCACTTACCAAGTTTTAGAGATAGGGGATGTACAGAGGTGCTAAAGTCCTTCAAAGAACTGAGATGCCCAATTCCCATTGAAATTCAACATAGCTGGACAAACTGGAGGCTTTTACAAGCCTGTTTCCTATGTGGCTCAGTTAAGGTCATCCAGGAAATCTTTAGACAGAAAAGAAGATTGACCTCACATCTCCTGAGGTATCATCATGGCTACTGAACCATCATTTCTTCTCCTTCTGATTGTGATCATTCTGTTTATTCTTTATAGTTGATTAAACCACACATTTCAGTGAGTTACGTATTTACCCAAGTAATAATATGCAGCAAATACCCAACATGCTGCAGTTTCTTCGAACGTAGCTACCTTTACGGGGTTTTGGCTGGCTGTGAGGTCAGGGCATTTCTATTACCCTTTAAAATGGGATCCTGTTAAACAAAAACTTAACAGTTTTTCTTGCAGCCAGCTTCTCCTCATGTGAAATCAGAAATGCCTGTCAGAGCACAGCTTCTCTCCTCCACGCCGTACCAGGAAGATCAGGCAGAGAACGTACTGCCGGCATACAGATATAGCAGCTACGTCTACCACTAAGTGGTTTGTATAGTTCAAAAAACGTACTCCTACCTTCAGAAGAGCTTCAAACTGTGTGTCCTCGTGGACTGGTAACTGAGTTGGGATGTCACACTCATTTTGCCCATGCACAACAAGGGTCTTTGTGCCTAAAGGAATAAAAGCAATTGCATTCTCCTTGGCTCCTTCTAGCAACTCAATTTCAAAATACTGCCCATGGAGGAAAGGTGATAGTTAAAATCCATTCCTGAGCTGACAGACAACGTCAGTCCTGTCTGGAATCTATTATGCAGCGCTAGCACAGTCTCACACTTCCATATTTAATAAGAAATCAACCTCTTCCTAAACGACTGAGCTACCTTTAGCAGCAAGAGTCACCCTGAGGAAGGAACGGGCCTAAAAGGTCAGATCTGTTTTTCAGCAGGAAATCTCTTGCCTGGCTCATAAAGTCCTAGGCTCACAACACGCTCCTCCTGGCCTCTGTCAAGACTTAAATGAGAGGCTGCATCAAATCAAACTGGCTCTGAATGGTACAGTAGTCTTAGAATGATCCACCCTACCAGCCTTTCACAAGCCCACTGGCACAAAGCCCTGCGTTGAACAGATTGTTCTAATTCACTTTACGTTTACTTCTTTCAGAGCTCTTAAAACAGCTTTCTGACTCTCCAGGAATTAGAGCTGAAACTTGCTGACTGAAGCCTCCAGTTCCAGGACAACTGACTTAGCATATAAAGCTTTTTGAATCAGGGCTTTTTCTGATCCAGTTCTGATGGATCTACCTTTTGGCAGCAAAGTGGTTGTGAATAAATAAGCAAACTTAGAATTGAAAAAGCTCTAAAGGCTCAGTTCTTATACCTGGCATTGAGGCAGTCACCAGCAGTTTCACTTCACACTGTTCCTTCTTCATAGTCTGTTTGAGATCCTTGAAGAAAAGGCCTTCTACATAACCCACCACTTCCCAGAGGAAGGTTAGTGTGGCAGAAATGGCATCCATGCCCCATTCACATGGAGTACGCACAAAATACATGATCAGTCCCACCTGCAGGTAACAAATAAGAGGAATATCAGGTTATACACCCTTGTGCAGGGCATTGTATAAACACAGGACAAGAATATCTTTCTTCACTCAGAGAGGGATCAACTCATTAAACTTAAGTCCTGAAAATTAATACACGCTATGGTACTATGATGCCTGTAAACCTACTATTCTTTCTTCTTCTGAGGAGGGAGAGGCAGTGGGGGAGGTTTAGGCAAAACGACTATTTCCAGCCCAGCCTTAAAAGCCATTGTGGGTGAGGAAAAGGGAGAACCTGTGCAGTAGGAGACTTCCCATCCCTTCTGCTCCGATGTGCTGCCACACAGACAACTCAGAAAAGACAGAGGACTCCTGGAGTAGCACACATCTCGTCTAGTTTTTCACGTCCAAGCTCTGAAAGAATTGCAGCAACTGCATTTTCCATTTATGAAAGAAGTTACAAGATTTGCTCCAATGGGACTGTCCAAAAGCAAAGCACTTTAGGAATCAAAATCAAGTACAATAATTAAAGGTTTCAGGCATCGGTATCCTTCCATTGGTCTACAACCCAAGGTTAAACTCAGAAACCCGTGACAGGGAGTTTAGGGGTTTAATAAAAAAGTTAAAGATTCCTTTCCCTCTCCCTAAATAGAAGGGATGAAAGACTGGTGTAAGCCTGGTGATTTGCATCAACAACTGAAAGCAGATATGAGCTATAAAGGAAAAGCTACAGAGTATTTATTTCCTTGCAGATTGAGACATCCACTCCTTAGGACACACAAAGGCAGAGCTGAGATTACGCGCTACACAGTAGACCCATAAGCTACTCACCAAATAGTTAAAGAGGATATGAGACGTTTGGGCAGGGAAGTCTCCAATGTTCAACAAAAGCTTCCTCAACATATACATCAGCTCGTCCTGGGAGAAGAGCAAATGTTTTTTTTTTTCCATCACAAGATGCACAAAAGCTTTCTCCCTTCTATCCTCCCTTGTTTTGTTTTTTCCCACTTTTTCATAACCCCTTGTTCTGCTGTCTCTCTCAGTGCATGAAGTGGAACTACATGTTTATCACTGCCCCTACCATTCCCAGTGTAAGGCTCAGGGCACAGCACCCAGGTCGATGTCTTTCTTTTTGACCTGAGAGAGGCCAAAACTTCCCACTGTAATCTGTCCTGATTGTAATGTCCTGATTCCACATTCCTTTCCCTGCAAAAATACTAAATCTTTCTTGTCACAACAAAGGGCTACCTGGATGATCTTGCAGAGAGAGTGTGGCATCTAACTCAGTTCAACTCAATGTCTGTGGCTGCTGGGTAGACACAGGGGCAGAATCTAACTTTTTCTTCTTCTAGGGGCTGCTTTCTTTCATGCAGACTAGCAAATTCTTTAAGGCAGGGTGCGTGTCTGTGTGTGTCTGTGTGTGTGTGCGTGTGTGTGTGTGTGTGTGTGCGCGTGTGCGTAGGGGGCAGCTGGAAGCAGGAGGAATCTCACTGACAGCCAAGAACAAATGGACTGTATCATAAGTTTCTTCTACAGTCCTCTTCCTCTCAACCTACAGCTTCTTTGAGCCAGTGGCATGGGCATGAGTATGCACTGGACAGCCCATGCCAATGCTACGTCGGCTGAAAGCTTCCAAGAAACTATACCTCTTCCCTGTGTTCTGTTCTCCTGATTGTAGTGGGCTTATGCAGAGATGACAAAACAGCAGACTATAACAGCTCAGAGGCTATTGAGACTAGAGGATAAATAACTTCCTTCTCAAAGATGCTTAACAAACAGAAGAGACTCTCTGAACTTAAACTTCTGGGGCTATGGCTGAGAAGTCTCAGGAATGATGAGGCCACTGAGACCTGATTACTCAAGGAAGTACAAAAGCAGCCTCTCCTGACCTTTCTGTAGTTTTAATTTTCATTTTGCAGCCTGTTCTTAGATGGTAGCCTGGAAGATGAGAACAGTGATATTACTGTTGGTATCATATCCTAAGTGTGCAGTTGAGAAACTGGTGTGTAGAGGCACCCTGCCTTTCACCCAGTCAGAACTGCCAAACCTTTCTTCTAAAGACCTTAGCCATGGCACAAGAAAGCAGTCTAATAAGCCAGGGAGAAACAAGCCCACTCTCACCTTTCAGAGAAAACTGACCAGAGTGGTATGACTGGAGCTAGTATCACTTACATCAGATAGAGAGGACTATGCTCACTATGCAGTTCAGGGTTTGGCTTTAAGCAGGGTTAGATGCTCGGTGGGGGTAAATCAGCTATTTCCCATTTACATCAGTGGTACGCAGACTGAAGCCGACTGATGACATTGGCCTAAAAGACTTTGAGCCGCATTGTAACAGCAAACACTCCTCAGTCACTACCCAGAGAGTGATTCTGCCTGCATCTATGCTCCCCTGATCTATGTAATGCGTACACCACCCAGGAGATAAAAAGTCTACCTGTCGGTTGCTTATCGTGAGCTTCTCCAGAAAATGGCGCAGAACTGTAGAGGGGTCTTCAATTAAGCAGTTCCACAGGACCTGCTGAGCAACAGCACTTACTGTAAAAGAAAGAAAAGAAAGTCAGAAGCCTCTGCCTTGGAAAGGCCTTGAAGTGGCACACTTAGATACAAACATTCCTAACCTTTTATTACAATTATCATTTTTGTACTGAAGCACACAGGTGCCATTTTGAGGCAACAGGATTCCTGGTCACCAGGGCAGTGATCTCGGTGAATAATAACAGGTCCAATATTTGAACCTTCCCTAACTGCTGGTGATATAAGAGGAAGCATTTCACCAGTGTAGTTAGGGGAATAACAAGGAAATAACTATTCAGATTAACAACTCCCGACTGGGCAAATCAGCCAATAAAAAAAATAAATTCACATACTGCTGGGGGTTTTTGGTGAACAGGAGCTCCACGTCACTATGATTCATTGAGTGATTTTATTTGGTATTCTTGGACAGTATTCAAATAATCAGCAGGGGATTGTGAAAGGTTGATCAGTTCCCCCAAATTTTGTTTTTAGTACGCAGTTCTTGAAGCATGACACACACATTATTTAGGTGGCTGGCTACACCCACCTAAAATTGAATGACAAATGTAACAGTTGATCAGTGTGCAATCAGCCAACATGACGAGTGATAACATAGGAAGGAAGGGCAACAATCCTCCATGTATAAACATTTAAGAGGAACTCTCTCCACTCTATTAGCCTGAACTGATGAGAATCCTCACCTCAAGACTAAATACAGAAGAACCTGTTATGAATTCACAAACACATCACAGACCACAAACAAAACGTTTGAGCTGTGTATAGTTAACTTTCCATTTGGATTAAAGACACGTTGGTGGAAATAAACCTCCAAAGGTCTCTAGTCTAACCTCCCGCCTGGAGCACCAACACATCATCAGTTCAACCGTGGCTTTGTCTGCCTAACCAAGGCTTGATAACCACTGTAGATGGAGATTCTACCAGCTCTCTAGGTGACTCCTTTGAGGGCTGCAGTAGTGAAGCCTACTAGTGTAGGCTAGCAGTGAAGCCTACTAGTGTTCCTAGTGAAGCAGCTTCCTTCTAACGTCCAACCTGAACCTCCAAGTTGCAGGCTGCGGCTGTTTTTTTTGTGTTATGCTGTCTGCTGCTATGTAAAAGAGTTCAGCTCCATAGTCTTTATAACTGTTCTTCAAGTAGTTGTAGACTTCCTTTACATCTTAGCTTCCTCTTCATCATACCAAACAAGCCAAGCTTCAGCAGTCACTCCTCGCAGAACACCTGTTCCAAGCCTCTTACCATTCCGGTATCCCCCCAATAGACTCTTTCCAGCTTCTCAACATCTTGAAATAAGGACCTCCAAAAGGGCCCAAAAAGATTAAAAAAAAAAAAAAAATCAAAACCAAACACAAATCATGGGAAACAAGGAAAAAATCCTATAAGGTCACAATTCTGTTGTGGATGTATTTTCAAATAGTTTATGACGATTTAATAGACTATTCATAACCATTTTAACCAAAAAATATGCTTATAGCAATATACAACACATACTACTTCTGGCTGTAAAATGGTTACCTTACAACAAGCAACATGAACTATGAGCAAACAATGTTGTGTCACACCTCTTTTCCGTTTAAGTTACGGTACCTAACAAATGTAAGCCACTGTTCAAAGTCCTGGGAGATTCTGTCACCCCTGAGCAAGAATCACTTGAAATTTAATTTAGGTCAGTACCAGCTACTCCATCCTCCCGAACTTCTCCGTCTTCCATCAAATGGACAATGGGGAGCACTGCTGCACAGATGCATGCTGGAAATACAGCTTGAGGTGGCTGTGGCACGTGATGGTTTGGAGTATGCTCTGTAGTGTGTTCTTCATCTAGAGCAGTAAGAGTAGAAGGTTCGTGTTAGCGAATGAGCTGCAGTATCACCCAGGTAGGTTAAATAAACATTTATTTTAGGTGCTGTACAAACAGAACAAAATGAGAGTCTATCTGATCACCGTGCAAGCATGGCAGATTTACTGGTATCTCCACAAAGAAACTGAGCCTCCAGCCAACTTCTTGATCAAAAATTTCATTGTCAATATTTATTTTTTCAATTTATACTTCTTTTTTCTAGGCTACTCATTTCCTTTTTGATGAAATCCCCATTCATTACTTATCATTTCAGCCACAGTGCTCTCCTTGCAACTACTCAGCGTAAATGAAAAAATGAGATATAAGGGGAGACATTGTGACAGCAGGA